AGAAGTGTAGGTTCCTTCACCTGGGGAGGAAAAACACCAAGGAGCAGTCTGGATGAGGGGTTGACCTAGAGAGCATCCCCGTGGAGAAGGACCTTGGGGTCCTGGTGGCCAAGTGATCCCTGGGACAGCAACGTGCCCTGGTGGCCAAGAGAACCATCTTGGGCTCTATCACAGAGAGTGTGTCCAGCAGGTCCAGGGAGGTTCTTCTCCCCTTCTGCTTGGCCCTGCTGGGACCTGACTTGGAGAGTTGTGTCCAGTTCTGGGCTGCCCAGTTCCAGAGGGACAGGGATAGACTGGGAAGAGTCCAGTGGAGGCTGCAGGGATGATGGAGCATCTGTCTGATGAGGAAAGGCTGAGAGACCGGGGGCTGCTCAGTCTGGAGAGGAGTGAGAGGGGACCTGATGAATGTCTACAGATCCCTGCAGGGTGGGTGTGAGGAAGGGGCCAGTCTGTGCTCAGTGGTGCCCTGGGACAGGACGAGGGGAAACGGCACCAAGTGACAACACAAGAAGTTCCAGCTCAACATGAGGAGAAACTTCTTTCCTGAGCGGGTGGCAGAGCCCTGGGCCAGGCTGCCCAGAGAGGCTGTGGAGGAAAACACCCATTTTGCTCGTTGGAGTTGAAACTCCAATTTCTGTCCCTAGAGTGGATTTGCCCCAATTTCTTGTGGGTTTGCCCCGATTTCATGTGGATTTGCCCCAATTTCATGTGGATTTGCCCCAATTTCGTGTGGATTTGCCCCAATTTCATGTGGATTTGCCCCGATTTCATGTGGATTTGCCCCAATTTCGTGTGGATTTTCCCCTATTTCTTGTGGATTTGCCCCGATTTCGTGTGGATTTGCCCCAATTTCATGTGGATTTTCCCCTATTTCTTGTAGATTTGCCCGATTTTCATGTGGATTTGCCCCAATTTCTTGTAGATTTGCCCCAATTTCATGTAGATTTGCCCCAATGTCATGTGGATTTACCCCAATTTCATGTAGATTTGCCCTGATTCCATGTGGATTTGCCCCAATTTCTTGTAGATTTGCCCCAATTTCATGTAGATTTGCACCAATTTCACGTGGTTTTGCGCCAATGTTACGTCAGAGTTGAGCACCAGAACGTTGTGGTTTGGGTTGTGTCTTGGTGAGAAGCTTCTTGGACATGTTTAGCTCTGGAACTTGAGGAGTTTTGTTTGGTGGAGATGAAGAGAGTTGATCTTTCCCACCAGAAATGGGAAAAAACCAGGAATTTGGGAGCGCGATTGGTTTTCTCTCTTTTTTTTTTAATTGAAAAAGGGGGATTAAAGGTGCTTCTTTGTTCTCCAGGGAGGATGGGGAGCTGGAGGAAGGGGAGCTGGAGGATGATGGAGGGGAGGAGACCCAGGATCCATCAGCATCAAGAGAGAGGAGTCGGAAGGAGAAGGGGGAGAAGCACCACAGCGACTCGGACGAGGAGAAGGCCCATCGGAGGATGAAGCGGAAACGCCGGAAAGAGCGGGAGAAGGAGAAGAGGAGATCGAAGAAAAAGAGGAAATCCAAACACAAGGTGAGGCAGGGTTGGGAAGAGAGGAGGGAAATAACCCACCCAGGGGGTTCCTGGGGGATATTAGGGTGGTTTTGTGATGGAAAGAGTTGGATTTCCTCTTAAAATTCCTTCCTTCCCAGCGCCACGCGTCCTCCAGTGATGACTTCTCTGACTACAGTGAGGACTCAGACTTCAGCCCCACGGAAAAGGGGCACAGGAAGTACCGGGAATACAGCCCACCCTACTCCTCTGTGAGTACCTGTCGTGTCCCACAAGGTGGGCACAGCTCCCCAGAGCTGAGACTCAAACCCAACATCACGTCCCACAAGGTGGGCACAGCTCCCCAGAGCTGAGACTCAAACCCAACATCACATCCCACAAGGTGGGCACAGCTCCCCAGAGCTGAGACCCAAATCCAACATCACATCCCACAAGGTGGGCACAGCTCCCCAGAGCTGAGACCCAAACCCAACATCACGTCCCACAAGGTGGGCACAGCTCCCCAGAGCTGAGACCCAAACCCAACATCACGTCCCACAAGGTGGAGTCACCATCCCTGGAGGGTTTCAAAAAACATGTGGACGTGGCACTTGAGGACATGGTTTAGTTGCTGGGGTTGGGTTGGACTTGATGGTCTTCATGGTCTTTTCCAACCTTAATGATTCCATGAGACCAAACTGGAGGGGTGGTGACACCCCAGAGGGCTGTGGTCCTACCCAGTGACCTGGACAGGCTGGAGAGGTGGATGAGGAGGAACCTCATGAGGTTCACCAGGGGAACAACCCCATGGACCAGCACAGGGTGGGGGGGACCTGCTGGAGAGCAGCTCTGGGGACAAAGACCTTGGGGTCTTGGTGGGCAACAGGGTGACCAGGAGCCAGCAACGTAGCCTGGTGCTCCTGGGGACATCAGGAAGAGTGTGGGCAGCAGGTCAGGGAGGTTCTCCTGCCCCTCTGGTGGGGGCACCTCTGGAGAAGTGGGTCCAGTTTGGAGGTTCCCAGGTCATGAAGGACCAGGAGCTGCTGGAGAGGGGACAGCAAAGGGTGGGGGGACCTGCTGGAGAGCAGCTCTGGGGAGAAGGACTTGGGGGTGATGGTTGAGGAGAACCTCAGTGTGAGCCATCCAAGTCAAGCCTGTAGCATGAGCAGCAGGTCAGGGTTCTCCTGTCCTCAAGCTGTGCTGGTGGGGACACCTCCCTGGACTCCCAAGAAGGCCAAGGAGCTGCTAGAGAGGGTACAGAAAGGCCACCAAGGGGCTGAGGGGCTGGAGCCTCTGGCCCGTGAGGAAAGGCTGAGGGAGCTGGGGCTGTGGAGCTGGAGAGGAGGAGCCTGAGGGGGGGTCTCCTCAAGGCTGGTCAGGATCTGCAGGGGGGGCAGGAGGGGGGGCCAGGCTCTTCTCAGGGGTGTCAGTGACAGGAGAAGGGGCCACGGGCACCAGCTGGAGGTTCCACCTGAGGAGGAACTTGTTGAGTGTGAGGAGGAACATGGGGAGGAACTTAGGGTGACAGAGCTACCCAGAGACATGGTGGAGTCTCCTTCTCTGGAGACATCCCAAACCCATCTGGACATGTTCCTGTGGGATCTGCTGGAGGTTCAACCCTGCTCTCCAGGTGGGATGGACTAGACGATCTCTAGAGTTCCCTTTCAACCCCAACCATTCTGTGATGAAGCCCGTTGACAGACCACCCCCCCCTTTCCTCAGGATCCATCCCCTTCCATCCCCACTGACTTCCCTGCCTCTCCCACAGC